CACACATTTAAAGATTTACTTCAAAGATATGCTGGATTGGCATTAGTGAGGAAGTCTGCAACAGAAGAGACGAGACCTAAAGCTAGTGGAAGCACTGTGATCCTTCCTTGGCTGGTAGGATACACTAAAGAAAAAAAAAGCTACAGCCAAGAGTCGAGGAAGCTACACTCCATGCATTAAGGAGGAGCACAGGCCACGCCCAGGCTCACACATGCCTCACAGTCGTTCAAGTTTAGTTCATTACAGTAACTATGGCTACAACACTTGAACGGCTGCCTGGATCATGTTCTGTACATTCCAGTCAACATAATTAATTAAATAAAAATCTTCCCAACACCAACCTGCCAATCCAAAATTCAATTTAGCAAGTTTTATTTCATATAAAAATGAAACAAAAGTACAATAGTATTGTCCTTTAAAAAAAATCCCAACAAATGTAATAGGATAATAAGTTTACATTGTAACCACTTTATAATAATCACTTACTTTAACAACTACACTGATTGCAAACTATACATTTGTCAAAAATAAATTTGTTAGTCAAATTCTGTACAAGGGGAGAGAGGGAGGGGGAGGGGGAGGGGGGGACAAATGCACTATCATTTTTACACAATTATTACACACACCTGTTAACAATCAGCAAGAGCATTATTAGAGATCTTCCCAAAAGAAAGCAATCAACATTGTGTGTGGGTTGATTACACGGCCCGCGGGTTCCTAGAGGTTCCAGCTAACCGAGCAGGGGATAAAAAGGGGTGCTGCGCTACATCTCTCAAACACGTCTGTCCCTACCCATCAAGTCAGCCACGCACCCGTTTAAGTTCATGCCACTGCCCCCACCCCATCCACAACCCTGTGACCACAGCAGCTCTCCTCTTCACCTCTGAGCTGTGTTAGATCCCCTCCAACACACACACATACACATACACACACACAAAGATCATCCCTACATTAATGTTAACGTCGTTTAGTAAGAAAAGTAGTGGTAAGAAAAAATTACTCCATTTCTAAAATACCATTACCACATCTTTACATAAATCACCTTACAACTATTGGGCCGATGAATGATTAATCTTGTCTTAAAACACGAACAATTGTTTCAATTTTATCGGGGAAAAGAAGTCAAACAACAGACAAGCCCCATACATAGCACAATTCCAATAATCAAGAATGCCGCAGCAGTAAATTGGGTCACAATATACTTCACTATCCCTGATATATTACACCAAACAGTAATTGTTTATAATTCTTAAAATTGCGGTTAAGGGGTATCACAGTTACTGCACACACATGCATACAATGCCAACAACCATCAGATGTGTCACTTTGCTCCCACATTCTTTCTATAGTTGCATCTCTGCTTGGCCACACAAACAAACAAAAACAAAAAAAAGTTCAACGTCGCAGGGAGCTTATCAAAGCTATGGCTATTATTACAAAGATAACACAGTATCTACTAAAAACAAAAATATTCAAATAATTTTGTTTTTAATCAGGTGTGTGATATCCTTAACAACAGGGTGCACCAAATCCCAAAAAGTTAAGGCACATTATAACAACTGAATAATAATTAAGATGGAGGGAGAAACTTTCATTAATCCATGATAATGTTTATACACTATATAAAAGTTTCGTCCAAATGGACCACTGTATAACACACGAAGTCTGGGGCACTTAGTACCAACTTTGGGCCTTGAGTCTTTGTCTCTGATCTCACTACAGTGCAATTCATAACAACCTACCTACTACATTACTGCCTCTTTTCACAACTCAAACAAAGCAACAATAAAGTTGAAATGGCAGACCACTGATGCAGCCCAGTCTCTGATGCTACTTCAGGAACTCACGAAAACGATGTACTCTATCAGAACGGTCAGACCGCTCTGTTGATGCATTGTTATTTCTTCTGAACCCGCTTCGTTCAGGTCTGGAGCTTGCATTGCTATTATTATTATTACTACTACTACTACTTGCACTAGAATTACCTCGACCTGTATAACGAGCCGAATTTGAAGAATCTAGAATAGAAATTAAAAGTTAAAATAACAAGTCTGCAATTTTCCATTCTATGTGTTCACAATCAGTTCTTACCTCCTCTCTCAGTATGCGAGTGTTGTGCAGGGACCCTAGAAACTACTGTATTAGCGCTGAAAGAGGTGCTAGTACTGACATTGGAGGTAGCTGTGGAGGAGTTGGAAGCAGCAGATGAAGTCTCTTCTTTTTCTTTAGATGCTCTTTCTGATTTTTCCTTGGCATGCTGAGCCACCTGAGCATAACTTAAACGTACTGGCTCCTGTAAGGAAAATTTTGTTTGAAGGAAATACTTTAGGCGCTAGTGTCAAGTTGAACCACAGAATAATTTAAAATCTTAAACAAAGAGAGGTAGTGAGCAACCATCTGACTTACCCCAGAGGTTGGAGGAGGACTGGGTGCAGTTTGAGAAGGAGTTGTGTTACATGAGGGAATTGATTCAGTCAACACAGTGCTAGTCATAGTAGATGCATTTGTGGTAGTGGGAACAGATTTAGCAACAACAGCAGCAGCAGACAAGCTCTGAACATAAAAACAAATGATATTGTAAAGGGATGGACATGCAAAAACTTTTCACTCCATGAATGCAACTGGAAATAACAAACTTGCTCAAGTGTAAATAATGGACACTTCGATGTGGATAACTTACCTGACCGGCCTGCTTGTTACTTGAACTAGAAATCTCTAGAGAAGTCTCTTTAACCCTCTCCTCAGTGTTTTGAAGCAGAGTATCCTCAGTCTTAGTAGATTTGTCTGCAGTGCTGCAGTTCTTTTTAATGACAGGAACAACCCTGAAACAAGATAAGTATAAATAAATCTGATGCATTAATATGATTCATGTAGGCTCCCTCAAGCATGTATATTCTAACACATACTTTTCAGGCGAAGATGGCGGCGTCATGGCAACAGTGGCAAGTGCAGAATCATTGCCTGAAGAAGTTGATATGCCTGAATGAACACATGGCTGCGAAGATGTGTGCGAAGCTGGGGCGTGAGCTTGAGAATTTTGGTGCGATTGTGATTGAGATTGTGTAGGCGCTGGTGATGTTGTGGCCTGACTAGTCTGAGGAGGGGGAGTCAGTGTGCGTGGTGAGCTAGAGCTGCCTGTCTCTTTATCTTTGCCCGCACTGCTGCTGCTGCTCGCACTGCTATGGCTACTTTGCCCCTTGGGTTTTGCTGTTCCCTTAACAACATCAGCTAACCTGAAATACCAAGCCAAAATGAAAGCTCTGACACAAACCACTCAAACACAGACACAAACAAACACACACTGTGACTGTATCTACTTTTCAATCAATAATGTACTTGCCTATTTTCCCAGTGTGACTGGGATGGTTCTAATGAAGTTACAGAGCTATCTGGGGCAGCAACAGTCTTGGCAGCGTTTGTTCCAGTGGCAGGGACGTCCGAAAGTCCGGGTAGAGGTGGAAAGGCATTTGGCTCCAAATCGAATTGGGGTCCAGGACGGGTATTGCTTGATTGGGAGGGTAGTGGACTGCTAGGCTTACCACGTGATGGAAGTGTTTCATCTTCCTTCCTTCTCCGCCTGTGTCTAACACAAATCATGTTGCTATATTACTATGTCAAGGTTGTGTAAGCACAAACAATTAACAGGCATTTAAGACAGCTAAAATATGAACTAAAGGCTTCACAATTACAGAAAAATTTGCTGTTTTAAGATATTACCGTGGGGGTAGAGGTTCCTTTGATGAGTCTCTACTATTGGCTGGACCCCGATTGCAACTGTCATCTACAGCAGCATCATTGCTATCTTGAGTTGTGGTGGTTGTTGTGGTAGATGCTGTTGTGAGAGCAGGTGCAGAGGCAGAAGGGGAATTACTCTGAGAAATTCTCAAGTCCCCTGGACCTGGCACTGAGGTGTGTTGATTCTGCAAGTCATTACGATAGCATTAGATTATTTAGTGTCTTAAGCTAAATCAGTTGTAAGTAGATTTCCTTCATCCTACCTACCTTCAATGTAACATTAGAACTTTTATTGATGGCTACAGCGCTAACTACAGGAGCAGGTCCCATGTGATGATGGCTCATATTACTATGATGGCGACCATTGTCGGGTAAATGACTTCTGTCCCCAGAGCGAGGTTCACTGCGTCTATTCCTACAAAAAGTTTAAGAGTTAGACAGGACATGATATATGATATAACATCAAAGTCTGTGGGAAAATCCCCCACTTACCTTGTGTTTCTCGGCACTGGAAACCTTGAGGGAGGTTTTGAGTATGAACCTTGTGGGGACATACCGTTCATTGAAAATACATTGCTCATTTCAAAGTAAGGCGGGTTAGAATGAGCTGCATGAGTCCACGGCTGATGCAACATACTTGGAGGATAAAAAGGCTGTTGTTGAAATGTCTAAAAGAAAAAAGGCAACTTAAGTACATGAGGATAGTGGGCCCAAAATTAGAAACAAGGCAAGTGTCAAAATACTCACAAATATTTGAACTTGACTGCCATAATTGACCCCAGGCAAAGGACTTCCATTGTACAGATATCGCTGTTGATTTCCTTGATATGGTGCATTTGGGTCATATACAGGAGCTGTTGTTGAGGTACTTGCATTGCCTGCAGCAGGTCCTGATGGAGGTGTCCTATATCCATTTTTCATAGGTCCACCAGGACCTATTGCTTGTCCTGTTACACCTACCCCAACACCAACCGGAACACCAGCAACAGGAACCACTCCAACCGGTGGAGTAGGCAACCTATTCATGTGTTTTGCTTTAATGCGAGCCATAATTGGCTTACCCTGAAAAAATTTTGATATTTGAAATTTTACATGGAATCTAAAATAAGTCCAGAATAGTCAGATAATAATTACCTGAAATTCCCTGACTTCCTCACGTAAAAATCTATAGGCCCTTTGAGCATCTTCATCTGATTCAAATGTAACATACCATGATGAATTATGTGCAAATTCACAAGAGATTAATCTAGGACAACCTTCCCCAGAAAATAAGTTCTGAAATAGCAAAAATTAGTTTAGAAACTGATACATGAGGTAAACATAGGGAGATATAGATGTTGAATACTACCTTAACATCTTCAAGTGGAGTACTATCAGGAATTTCCCTCAAAATGACTATGCACCGCTTATGATTAGGTCGTACTTTCTGGCCTTCTTCGTCTACTTGTACATTTGGTGATTCTAAAAGAGGGAGAGGAAAGACATTAAAAATGTGGAGGCGTGTAAGGACCAAAGCTTGCAGAAGTTGGCAACTTACCTCGTAATACTTCAGTTATAAGTTTGATATCATTAGTGAGTTTCTTAACTTGGTTGAAGTTGGCAACAGTCCATATGGGCACATATTGGTCATTGTCCATTTGAGAGAGCAGGTACGTATCATTAGCCAAGTTTTCCCTGAAGACAAAGTTAATGCATTACACATGGTGAACCGGCACACTAGATTCTTGAAGAGTTACAGATTGTTCAAGCTCCTCTGAGTTAGGTACCCATTTAAATGAAGAGAATTGGAAATAAAAAACACTGGTTTATTGTTTTGCAATTATTCTTGCGTGGGAACAAAATAAAAAGGGCTCTAATAAGTGCTTCTAGTCATATCTACAAGTGCAACTGTAGTGCCTGTAAAGATATCATGACCATCAAGAGCATAATTAATTGGATATAGAACAGGCACATAGTAATGTAGCAACACTTCGACACCTCTTACTTGGGAGCGAGAGAAAAAGGCTCTAATGTGTGCAACTGGGAAAAGTTGAGAAAAAGATATTTAAATTGTCTCTAGATGTGGTATCTAAACTGTTTCTGCTAGTGAGACTGTAGTGCCTGTTAAGACATCATGACCATCAAGAGCATAATAAATTGGATATAGAACAGGCACATAGTAATGTAGCAACACTTCGACACCTCTTACTTGGGAGCGAAAGAAAAAGGCTCTAATGTGTGCCACTGGGAACAGATTCAAAAATATTTAATATTTGTTAAATTATTTCAAAAAATGAAAGTGTGGTGCCTGTAGTATCATCATGCACATCAATAGCATGTGAAATTGCATACGGAACAGGCACATATTTTTGTAGCAGCACTTCGACACCTCTAACTTGGAAGCAAAAGAAAAAGGCTCTAATGTGTGCTTAAAAGTACGTGTAAAATTAAACTTGAACATATCTGTAAGAATAAATGAGAACCAAGATATATGTTTCAGTGCTGCTTAACTTTCCACCACAGTAGGCTGAAATTAATGGCAGCAGCACAGAATTCATATGGCAACACTTCGACACCTCAAACTCAAGATTGCAAGAAAAAGGCTCTAATGTGTGCATGTATTGGCAAATCAATAATGTAAATCAACTTACCTGGAGAAGTAATATTCTAGTTGTGATGAAAGCAATTGCTTTAGTTGCTCTAGGGGAATGGAGCCATCGTGTGGTGACACTGCTGCACTGGTAGCATTACTTGAAGCTCCACTTGCTGATATACTTGTTGTGCTGTTGGCCACACTGTGAGTTGGTGTTGATGTTCCTTCCCCCATGCTTTCTGTGCACTCCAGCAAGTCCACTGGCTCTGTTGAGTCAGTAACATCTGTGTCGACTTCTCCACTTATGCCATTTAAGGTGCTGTGGGAAATAAGATACATGATGTATACATACATGATACTAAAAACATCCATAGCAGAATTTAGATGATGGATTGCACATACCTGTAGTCTGTGTTGTTAATTGATGTGGCCAACGGAATGTTTTCAGGGGTGGTAGGGTATACCGCCCCTGAAGGGAGCTTTGCAATGTCCCCATTCATGTACACACACCCTGGAAGTCAAAAACAAAGCAATTATTATCTGGATGACATGGCAAGACAATGAGAGGTTTTGGAAGAAATGTCCTGAATCAGATTGAGATTAAGCCTGAGCACTTAACCAAGAAAAGGCTCCACCATAAGAATCACTATTTAATTTAAAATTGGATCTACAGTAGAAAGTGCTCATAGCACTCATGTGGTAAAAGGTAGAAAAGAAAAATGGAATTGCGAGGACTGCTGGTTCCCTTTATGAAATTCTGAAAGATGTCACAGAGACAGACAACTGTTACCTTAAACCATGATTTTGGGATGTGGGTAGCCGAAAGAGAAAAAATTCTTCTAGAATGCTTGAGAAGACAGCAAACTAGCAGTAGTACTACCAGTAGTTCTAATCTTGGCTAACATGCAAAGCAATTGCATCAGAAACCTGTGGCAGAGGTCTATGAGGACAGAAGAAAGTCAGAAGGGAATAAAGCCTCTTGCATAATAGGAAAAAGATAAGACATCAAGAACAAGCTGTCTAGGGATAAGAAACAAATTAAGTGTAGAATTTGATGACATGGAATGCATAGGCTAACTCAATGAAATGTGGAAATAGATTTCATACAAATTTGTGTTGACGTTTGCAAGTAGTGTGGCAGACAGTGAACAGCGATGGAGGATAACGCAAAAGCTATTTATCATAAAATGTAAGACAAGAGAGAGGCATTATAATTAACTGAAAATGAATGTCATGCTGACACGTCCAGATGCGAGGTAAATTTAGTAGACTTCTGGAACAAGACTATAATCTAGAAATTTATCTTCCATACGCATGCAAAAGCATTGATTTATGGCATTAACGCGAAAATAAACTCAGGGAAGTAAGCATATCAGGTAGAGCACCATAACCTCAATGCCTAACCAGGTCACTATCACCACAATGCATTTTCAAGTGATTTGAACATATCTCACACTTGGCATGAACAGAAAGAGAGAAAATAATCATGCCTGAAGGTCAAAACAGAAAAACTGCATAGCTATTAAACCCATATAAAAACTTTGTAAGGCTTCACCAAGGCCTTGTTGTTCACTTTGTAATTATAAAAAAAAACTATGTAAAAGTGTTAAAAGGTGAAAATTGTTAAAACTGAACTGACCTAATGCAATACATCGTGAAATGCTGCTTTTGCGAAGAACCCAAAGCGTTCAGCAACCCTACCCAAACCCTAAACTGTGTTCAGGCTCAACATAACCAAACATACTTTTCTTAGCTCATTCACCCTTACAACCACTGAAAATACAAATAAGAGGATACGAACAGTCTGATAATCATACCTGTGCATGTGTGTACGTCCATGGGAAGAAATTTGGATGTTAAAATATGGGAACGGACGACTAACCAAAACTTGTACAGTGGAATTAAACAGTCATGTGATCAAACTTGAAGGAATCCCTGTACTCTGGACAACGATGAGGTAATGTTAACAATATTACTGGAGAGAATGAATCTCAGTCACTGTGCAGCAATAATCCTAACGTAAAGGCCTGGCCTAATAATAAAATACCCAGCCTAGGCTCAGCACGTTTCAGTCCAACATCGTGAACGATTTGATAGCAGAATAAGTAATAAAGTCTCAAACAACTTGAAAACAACAGAGTTAAGTCAGGGCGTCACCAATAGTTTACACCAGGCCAGATAAGTGAAACACTTCAGTGAACTGAACGACCTTTAGAAGTTTTCGGAATGTAAAAATTCACGGAAACCATGTGCCTTATTAGGCCTAGGCTTCCTTAATCGTGCTCTCCGCGCAGCCACAGAAAAGACTGACGGGTCTACAACATACTCATTCATTTCATGAATCATGCCCACAATTGTTCGAATCCGTGGAGAAAGCCATATTTTATTTTTCTAATTCGAAAGCATGTCAGGTATCTCTATCAATCGTTACTTACTAGAGTGGAGAGTTTCCAACTCAACACAAATTCTCACTCGACGTCCAAAATGGCCGACACAGAAGGCACATGCCAGGAGCACATTGCATGATGGGAATGAAACGCTGCTATTTTTCGGTGTGAAATTGTCCGTTTTCGACCTCTACAAGTTTAAATTTTCAACCTATTTTATTTTTAAACTCGAAGAAAATTAAAAAGTTTACCAAAACGGTAAAATATTATTCTAAAAGTCTGCTCTGAGCTCTTCTTTCAAAGTTCCCCAACGAAAGGTAGAGAAGCAGAGCCCTGACCTTAAATGGGACCGAAACCATGCCGGCCGTCGTCAACTGGCATTCATTTGGTTGTCTCTATTTTTGTGTTAAATGTGCATTGCACTGATAACACACCATGATTCAACTTACTTCAGACTTGTCATTTTCCAAACCATAGCCGTACACTTCTCTCACTGAATGACAGAGTTGATTACCTGAACTAATGATGTGAGTCTATACACCCAAAGTTTTAAGGCATGTTCAGAAAACAACCAAACCTGCGTAAGATCATCGGGGAAATTCTTCCGTTTGAAATATATGTCGTTGTTTTTTCCATGTTTGAGTGTGAATCACTCATGACGCGAGTGCGTCAATCTTCTTAAGCTGGCTGGTCAAACTATCGAGCCGTATAGTGATCGGGTTTACAATGACGTAGGTCGGGGTAGGTGTAGGTAGGTGGGGTGGTGAATGGGGGGGGGGGGGAGGGTCGACTCGCCCTCTACCCCGAAATCACCCGCGTCGGCTAAAGAGTTCGCGGCTACGTTCGTCGGTTGCCGTCGGTTTGGTGTGAGTATATCCTAAGGGTTGTTCGTGTTCTCCACCCCCCCCCCTCCCTCCACGCCCCTGGATTTTCCCGACCCTGTCTCTTTTCCCCTCCCCTCTCTTTCCTCCTCGTGGTTTCCCACTCACCTCTTTGCGTTGTTGCAGCGGCGCTGGCGATGGTCGTCGACGGGGCGGTCGTGTCGACGTGCTGCACGGTGTGGTACAGCACCTGGCTCTGGAACACGTCGGCGTACGGGTTGAGCCCGCAGCTGGCCGAGCCCGAGGGGCACGCGATGGCCACGGGTCCCGTCGGCGGCACCGCGACCGCGCCGATCAGCCCCGCCCCGGCGCCCGGCGCCCGGAGGACGCCGCCGTCCGCCTGCTTGCCGAGGCCGGCCGCTTCCTCGGGGTCGTCCTTGCAGCTCGCGGCCGGGGGCGCCGCCGACACCTGTTGGTAAGGCCAAGCAGGGGCTGACTTCACAGAGGAAGCAAGAAGGAGAGGGCGATGAGAGACCCTTCACACGAGGCGGATAGAGGCGATCGCCCACTGGGGGTCTGGGGTAGGCAGCCCCGCAAGAATGAGTGTCGTAACCCGGACACACGGTACAGTAAGTGGGGTAGGTGCAAGTCCGCATGTCGATAAGTGATTCAAACGGTTGACGTCCGTACCATTCCGCACAAGAGCGTGTACAGTCATCTCTTCGCGGCTGCCCCGTCTCGTGTCGGTGGAAGCCCTCGACCCCCTGCACTCCCGACCGACGCGCGTGCGGGTGTGCTTACGTGTCGTATGGGTTGCCTACCCCCTTGTTCGCGGGCGGACTCGACGCCCAGCTCCCCGCTGCGCCCAAAGCAAGGCCCACGGTCCGCGATACTAAAACTCAACAGGTAGGAGGCCACTGTTGCTACTCCTTCAAACGATTCCGTTTCCGCTTCGGACCCGCGGTGTTCTGAAGGATAAAAGCCTACAAGACGTAGCCCCCCCCCCCCCCGCGCAACGTGGGGCCCTTGCGAGGGGCGAAGTGCATTTCGTCACCTGTGACCTTTCTCCTGACGAGTCCGACTGCGCTCCCTATCTTGTTCTCAGGACCATTCCAAGGGCATAAGATTTAGGAATTGTGACAGAGCGAAACTGTTAGACACGAATGTTGAAAATAGTCGCGTTGATTCTCATTTTGTGAGACACTTGGGATCAAATCGGGGCAATAAACCCAGTATCTTTTGGCGGAAGATGCGCGCTCCCTTTCCTTCTGCTGCCGCCCCCGCCACGCCCCCGCCATCTCGAGCCCCAACCCAACACCGAGCGAGGCGTGCTCAAAACGCCAAACAAGAAAAACGCCGCCACGTCAAACGCCGCGGGAGCCCCCGTCCCGTCCCGCCTAGCAGCCGGCTTGCTTGGGCTTTCAGAGAGCCAGGCTATCGATCCAGACGCGGACGCAGTCAGCCTCCCTGGTCCGGACAGAGCTGCGCGGGGCTGCGCGGGTCCCGTTCCGCCCCCGCCTGACCCCACGGTACCCCTCCGCGCCCCGCGCCTCCCCCCGTGCAGAATGGCGCAGGCGGGCCGCCGGCCATATGGTGCGTTCAATGCGGCCCATCCCGGACGCACCGCTGCACCGGAGGACTCGACAGGTGCGCCCCGCGGCGGGCCGCGCGTCCGGGAGGGCGCGGAGGTGTTCGGCGGCCCCGGGCGGCGACGGCGACCTTCCCGGAGGCGCCCGCGGGCCGCCAACCCGCAGCATATGGCGGAGGAGCCGCGGCGGGGGCGGACCAGGGCACCGCGGGGCGGGGGTGCGGGGGTGCGGGCGCGGCGACGGGGAGCGGTGGAGGGGAGAGGGGGCGGACTCCTCTCTCGCCACGCACCCAGCACACGCTCCACACGACGGTAACCAGGAGCGCCCTTCTCTTCCGGTCAGGCTGTCCGGGCCCTGGCCGCCGCCCCCGCGGGGCCCCCCGGGGCCCCCTCCTCGCGTCGCTCCGTGGGACCGCGGGGGGCCCCGCGGGGATGGAGGCGCCATATGGAGAGGCCTAGCCTCAGCTGGGCCGGTCGGGCCGCTCGGGCCGCTAGGGGAGCTCACCCTCTGCACGATGTAGCAGCGCTGGTTCCCCGTGGCCGCCGAGTTGTCCGCTGGGCACGGCGAGCAGATGTAGGTGCCATTGGGGTCCAGGCAGTAGGCCTGCTGCACGATGCAGGCGATGCACGTGGGGTACGCCGGGGGCGGGGGCGGGGCCGGGGCCGGGGGCGGCGGCACCTGCGCGGCCGGCTGGGCCGCGGGGGCAGCCGTGGGCGCCGACGACGAGGCTGTCGTGCTGGTCGAGGCCCGGGCGGCCGCCGTCTGCAGCGGCATCACATGCCAACCTGTTGCCCCCGCCCGCTCCGCCCGCGCCGCCCGCCCCAGAGCGGCGGCCCCGAGGGGCCTGTGCCCCCCTGAGGGCCTGGCCTCGGGCCTGGCTGTCACCCTTCGGCCCTTCGCCCTCTCGGCTGGCGGGGCCTCCACGCCGGCCGCGGCGCTGGGCAGGTTGGGCGCGGCGTGGCGCAGCGTGGCGCGGCACGGCGCTAGCACAGCGCTAGCGGGGATGGGCTGGGGCCCCTGCCTGGCCTAGCGGCCCTGGCCCGCCTGGCCCGACTACCCCCGTGCTGTCGCCGCTATTGCGCCCCTCGTACACTCCGGACGGGTGGACAGGACCGCGCGCCGCGGCCCGCTCAAGCCGACTGGCAGCCCTGCCGGCGGAGGCGGGCACGGCGGTGGTGGTAACGGAGCAAACGGCCGCCCCCCAACCCCTCCGGC